CCGCCACGCCATGCTGCTGTGCTGCAGTGGAGCAGTGACTAACACTCTCCTCTGATCCCCCCAAGACCCTGGGCCCCTCCAACCATCCTTATCTTCCCAGGGTGCCCTGGTCTCCTTGGAGGCCCTGGAGCTGCATGATGAGCACACAGAACAGGGGGAGACCTTTAGGGCCTAAACAAAAAGAAAGAAATCATGTAGTGTAAATGATTGAGAATAGTACCAGGCCCACAGTTAGTGTCTTAATGGGTATTAACGCGTAGTGGGAGTTCATATTAGCCAGCCTTAGTAATCTTCTAATTGACTGCATTTAGGAGAGTCCGAACATGTAACAGGAGCTTAGCAATTGAGAGCTGTTATGACTAAGATACGTTCTCAGGAGTCTTCCATCCACTGAGGAGACAAACATGTGACAGACTGCAACCCTTAGCCTCCTGGGAAGGAGAGAATGGTCACTGCTCTGATCCAGATTTCTGTCTCTCTGGTGTGCGTCTGCCTGTCACACAATGCTCTCACCTGCTCTGAGCTGTTGTTTCATGGGTCAGGGCCCTCATTTCTATTTCCTGGCAATTTTATTCTTTCCTGGTGTGTCTGCCTACAGTTAAGTGCAGAATCTTTATCTGTTGTGTTGCTAAGAAAGCTTTATTTTCCTTCCGTAATTTCCGCAAACCACCTTCTGCCAATTTTATTCTCTGTGGGATGGTGTCTGGGTTTTCATGGGGGCAGCATGCTGGATCTCTCCACTCGGAGAGCAATCTGTTCTTTGGACCACTGCCCTGTACCTGCCCGTTTTGTATTCTGGTTCTGCTGGCATTGTTGCAGTAGGATGTTTTGGATATTTTTTAATTCTATTCCTTTTGTTAAAAAGAGTAATTTCCTATTCAGAGGTGGAAAGATGGATCTCTTTATACTTAGACCACAGGAGGGCCAAAGCTTAGAGAGTTTTCTTTGAAATCACTAAGAGCCCCAAATCCTGTGGGCCACGTGTCCTCATATGCAAAATCTGCTACAGAGCCATCAACAGAAATTTTCTTTGCAGTTTTCCAACATCAGGCTTTCTCAGCTTCAGCACTAGTGCCATTAGGGCCTGGATAATTCCTTGTGGGGACTGTCCTGTGCTGCCAGGTGTGCAGCGGCATCCTGGGCCTCTACCCCCTAAATGCCCACAGAAACCCCACGGTGACAGCTAACAATGTCCCCCCTGGGGGGGTCAAATCACCCCGAGAACTGCTGCTCAAATAATAAACATCTGAATATAAATTGACAAACAAGTTATAAAATGTGTAGCAAATACTGACAGAGCAGCGATTTTCAACCTGTATGCTGCAAAAATTTTGAAAACATGCAATACCTGACTATTTCATCAGGGGCACTGACCTTTTACCCTTAGATTGTCAAATAAAAACATGACAACAGCCAACACCTGATTATACCTATTTTTCTTTTGATCAGCTCTGCAAAAAATATTTTTGTGTATGTGCCACAGAATTTTAGTAATTAGTTTATGTGTGCCATGAGCGTAAGAAGGTTGAAAATCATTGTTATAGAGTGCTTAATGTGGGCTAGGCACTGTTGTAAGAGCTCTTTTCATATAAGTAGCCTCACTCAGAGAGGTAGGCATTATTATACCATATTACCCACATTTTACAGATGAGGAAACTGAGGCACAGAGAGATCATGTACTTGCTAAGTGCCAGATCAAGAATCTGAACCGAGGCAGTGTGGCCTTGGAGTCAATGAGCTGGACTTACTGTGCTGCTCTCTCAACAAACCTTGGAATAGTTACCCACCTCACATAGCATGGGGTATTACCTCTCATAGGTGCTCAGCAAAAATGATTTTAATGAATGAATATCTACAAATCCAGGAAATTATTTAATGTCTTAAATAAGTATTGAGTAAATTCAGACTCTCTACTTTAATTAAATAAAAACTAAACTTTTCTTTGAATACAATCAACTGTTCTCTATTAGAGCAAAGCAGAAAGTCTCTTAGCATTTCTAAGCCCATTTGCAGGAATCGTTTGGAAGAAGTTTGTCAAGGTGACCTTTAAAGTCTCTTATCTGGGCTTTGATTTGTGTGGTACTGCAGTTCTGCCAAATGTCAGAATGAAGGTTGGTAAAATGGAACAAAATATTATTTGCCTGATGAGATTACACAAACCATCCGCGCTTGCCCTATGATAAGGAAATACTGAATTCCTCCTCTCTCTTAAACTAGGTATGTGTTCTGAAGAGGTATAGTTTGACCTACCTTCAGGGCTTATAAAAAATTAAACATCTTTAACTAACAGGAAACCACTTTAGCCGATCAATTTTCAGACTTCCATAGTTGGCTTCCTATAATAGATAAGAGGGCTGGGCTCTAAAATTTCTTACAAGTGCACTTGTCTGATCTATATCGAAATGGGAAGCCTGCATTTTACATAATAAAATGCAAAGACAGTACTGTCATTCTTGTTAAAGATTTTTTTTAATGTGTACTCTGTAAGGCAAAAGAATGGAAACTTCCAAAGTATTAATTAAAACAATGTTACTAAAATAGCCAGAAGACAACTTATTCACAATAGCTTCATCTTATCAGTTCTCTTAAAAGTCATATTGCGAATTGTAATTATTTTACGCAGCGAGACTATGTGTAATACATTTTCTTTTAAAAATTTGAATGGCTTCATTTTTTTCTTAATTCTTAAGAAGTCAGTGATTTTAAGGACAATATTAGAAAATGTCCTAAATCTCACTTTTCGTGGAAGATTTTCCAGAAATGCTGCGTTACAAGGGATAGCAGAACCAAACGTTTATCTTTTTCAGTGGTACGAAGGGATCACTCTTGTTCCCTATCCAGGCTGTTTGCTCACACCACAGAATTCACGGTTTCTATAATGAGTACTTGCCTCTGGGTAAGTAACCTGTCATTTACCTCCCACACAGTCTTGATGCAGAGCATTACTTTGCTGTCATTTAGGATGGACTGTCCTGGTACCTACAATAATTTGAGGATTACTGTATAGAAAGTGGCTAATGAGTACTCAGATTCCTATGGAATGGTAGGGTTATTCAAGTATTTTTTCATGAATGTAGAATTTTTTAAAAACTGCAGAAAACAAAGCTAAGCAAAATGGGATTACTCAGGAAATAGAAAGTGGCTTTCTTAAGGTTGTTTGAAATTGTTCTCCCAATTGATGGCCAGCATCTGGGTTTCCACCGTTTTGAGTTCCAAAGTTGCCAACAACAATTCCAAGCACCGAGTTACAGGAGGCTTACTCTGTTTTATGAAGCTGTCTTCAGAAAATAGTGTGATTGGTAATTGTAGAGCTTGCAAAGAGCTAAGCCTTCATTAGTACATAAATACCATTCAAGTATAGTTTACTTGAAGGTCAAAAATGATGGCCGGTCCAGGACAGACTTTTCCAAGACCAGAATTTTAAAAAAACAAACAAAAATTATGTTGCCCACATGAGTAGAAAGTCACTACTCCTAATTCCAAAAGAGTACCTTTTCCTTTAAAATGGTTATATCACCAAGTAGTTTATTCTTTCACAAAAATCTGGCCCGCGTATATTGCCCCCTCTTAGGAGACTAATAGTACTATGCACTCTACATATAATGTTTAAAAAGAACCTTTTATATTTTATCTGCTTTGTGAAAGTGGGAAAATATTGTACACTGTCTACATAGTAACTGAATGGCTATTCTTTCCAGCTGCTTCTAAATGATTATAGGTTGTTAACGTTAGATTTCATGTTATGATAAATTTTGTTGCAATGGAGAGGCATTGGGATTCAGTCTTACTATACATTAGGGAATATGACAAAAGGAATTCTTAAGTTTTACCCAGTTGTTGAATCAGAAAAACTTAAGGTCTGAGAGATGTGGAAGTCACGGAGAGAACCAAATCCTGAAGAGAACTCATTTGTAAAATACTGCATTACACATAAAAATCATCCCAGAAATCGAACTATGCCAGTTGGGGTGGGAGGTGAATTTTAAGCCATCAATCACATTATAAATTACTGGATTATATGTAGACACTGAAATCTGGGGACTATTTTGTGAATTTCCCATATTTTATTTTTAAAATGTTGCTATTCTTTAGGACATAGCATTCTTAGTTAGAGATTTTAGTGAAAGTTGGCAGGAAGGAGAAATTATGCTCAAATAAGTTCATTTGGCTTCTGATCATTTTTAGTAGAATTACAGTTTGGCCATGAAAAAACTGGAATTTAAGGAAATTTTTTTTCTTTTTATTTTAGTTATGTGGTATTCCTAGTTCCAGCTAGTACAGAAATTTAGGGAATCAACTTGATTATTTGACATTTTGACAACTATTAATATGTCCCATGAAAAACAGTTACTATGAAGCAATAGTGACCTCTTAGCTCATACGTACAGGGTGCAGCAAAAGTGGGTTTATAGGTGAATACATGAAAGTTTATTGTTGTATTAATTACTGTATTTTCCATACAAACAACTGTAGACCTACTATTGCCCCACCCTGCATTTTTTAAATGTTCAGGAATTTTGTCGAGAATTTGATGCAGCATCAGTTTTTGAGTATTACTAAATATATCCACCCAACTTGTGTTTCTACACAAAAGGGCGTCATGCTCCCAAATGCATGTCAAATAATTTCTGTTAAGTTCCTGAAGTTACACTGCTTTAAATACTTGGAAGACTTATGGCACTTCTGTTTCTCACCAGTAAAACCCACAAAATAAACTTGTCTATGTAGCTTCAATTTTTTAAATTTTTAATCATCTACCACTTTTTGATACTTTGAGAACTAGTTAAAACTTTACCAAAATCTATTTTAAAAATCAGTCTTAGCTGTAATACACAGACTTCAGTTTATGGTCACTTTTTCCCTGGTCACAGGTGCATGTTACAGCTTGCCATTGTGGTCATTGTGGTGCATTTCATTACGCTTCTTGTTCTATTTGCTTTCTTGAGACTTGGGAAACAGTATTTTTCTGAGTGATTGTACTATATTGTTCCAAATATAAGGCCACCCAGAATAGAAGGCAACCTCCAACTAGAAACAGCTCAAATATGGAGAAAGGCTGGGGGCCCAGAGCCCGGCGGGTCTTGCAGTGGTGGCAAGGGTGCCAAGGAATAGGACGCTGCCTGCCCACTCTCCCGGTGAGTGAAGACAAGCCAGCTGCTGCATTTGCTTGTGTGTGACCCAGGTGGCTTGTGCTGCTCGAGGAAAGCTATGCTGGGGGTAGAGAACAGTCTGTGTACATGAAAGAAAGTTGCTGTGGGTGTAAGTCTGGGGAGGGACGTTGGGAGTCGTCTTTCATCTCCTACACAGTCATCTCTAGTGTTTTCCCCCTGAACTTGAGGGTGAAAGTTGAGTGACTGGAGAACAAAGGTAGCCTGCACCTTCGCGAAAAGGCGTTTAAGAGTTCAGTGGCCATGAAAATGAACTTTTAAACACCAGCCCAGGAAATTATCCCATGCCCTTTCTAGTTGACTGCCCCGGGAGAAAGTGGTGCACTGTGTGGGTCACATGTACCTTGAAAACAAGCCTCCCTGAAACTGGGAGTCACATGTCTAATTTCATTAAGGTTTTCCTCTTTTTAAATTCCTTGTGTCCCGAGCCAGCCATGTTACAATTTAAATGGGCTCAATCTTATTAAAATATGTTTCACTGAGTAGCACACTTAAAAAAATACTTCAGTGAAAACATATTAGTCAGCTTTGTATTGATTGAACCTAGATCGTTCTCCAAATTTTGGTCTCATTCTACTGAGCACATATAAATTTGACCTTTTGTTTCATAGGAACTAAATGAGAGGTGATAGAATGAGTTGCTTGATTCTGTTACAATCTAGAAACCTGTTTGAGTACAACCTTACCAGGCACTTGGCTACCTTTGTGGCTTCACAAACACCACATAAATCATGACTCTTGAACCTTCCTGTGATTATTAGTCCATAGCTCACACAGTGGATTTGAACTTTAATCCCCCAATGATACATTTCCCCCTACTATAGTCTTTATTATTATCCTGTTATTTAAAGAAACTTCTTTAATAAAATATTTGTTTTTCTGAATAGATAAGGGTAGAAGAGGACTCTCCTTAAGTTTAAACAATGCTAAATTAGAGGATTTGTGGTAAGGGAAGGTATCACTGGTTCTAGAAATTTTCTTAAACCAAAATGGCCTGAAAGATGGAGGTCCCATTCCAAAGCAAAAAGCATGCAAGGATTGATATACCTTCCAGTTTGCCAGGTCTGGGAAGGGAAACTTTGAAAGAGAAGGACTGGGAGGAGAGTAGCCCAGAGGGGGAAGGAATATTGCCAGCCAAGTCAGATTACCAGTCAGAAGTCAGACAAAACTGCAGTGGTGGGTCCTAAATGAGAGGTTTGAAGTGAACTCTGCGTACCTCAGAAGCCTTTTCATAGGAGTTCATGAGAGTGGTGACAGCAGGGAAAGAAAACGGTGGGGGACTAGAGCTTCCTTTATAATTCCTTTGTTTTGGAAACATTTGATCTCTTCAGAAGAGGAGGATGTCCAAAATGTGGTGATGGAGTTGGAGGGAGGGTGTGCCTCCTGAGCCAACTTCAAATAGTTTCCCTTTTATTATTTGTATCAGGTACTACACCTGATTT